GTGAGTTCGTTCCAATTTTTTCATGTCATTTTGATCTAATATTACATTCATTCACTTAGTCGAGGTCCGCAATTTATGTTATCACAACATACATTTTTCATTTCGAAATCGCCTCTTATTATGTCTGTGGATGCTTCTGACTAGCTGATTAGTAACCATTACGCTCATTTTATCTATTCTTCCACGTGCGTAACTATATGCTGCATCACTTATCACTCAAAAACGCTATTCGAGTACTGCAACTACTATTCTATACCCATCGCTCGGTATATCAGAACATAGAGTTTAGAGCTAGCCTCTCAAAGATACACTCTTGTTCGTCACATCCAAGTCAGTCTCATACGTCGCCATCACTAATCATATGTATTGGTATTTTTGTCATGCCTTGGTACGGTTTTGTAGCAAACGAGATCGAGCGCATCTCCCTCAAACCACACAAACCATTCTAGGCTTCATGACCAAAAAGGAATACGACTCTATGTACCTGGTCTACTCAGTCACTATTCTGTTCCTCTGGTCATTCTACTAATACATATTCAACGATAACTCGATGCATCTGTCATAACGCAGACGACAACGTCCACTGACTTCAAATTTTATGATTATTATCAATTGCAGTGCAGCAACGAATATCACCCGTCGATGCAGATATCATTTCACGACTTTCCTATTATCATCCTACGCTACGCAATTAAATTCGAATTCACTCATCACTAGTCAATGCGATTTATTCTGCTGCGGCTCAACAGAACATATATTTCGCATATTTCACTATTTTGTCAGCATCACAGACCAATTTCTGTCATATTCTACTGTACTCATTTTGACGATTTATTTCCCTGTCATACCCACAAACAATTTATTACTATTTTCACGATATTTTGAATCACTCATACGAACGTGTTATTTTACCGTTCAGACAGTCATAGCATTAGTACATGTTAATTTTTTGTACGCTCATTAATTTGCTCATATTCACATGCTAACATTTTCATTTTTGTCCGAGCCTTTGCGATGTTCATGTGTTCTTTTGCATAAGCATGACATTTTCATACAATACACTCACCCGTCATGTGACACTGTACTTTATTGAGTGTTGTACAATTTTTTGGCTACTTAGTATTAGCGTTAACTTCATATCACTTCAGTGTTATTTTCGAAAACAGACATTTTTTAAATGTGCTATTTTCTACAAGGGGACTATGTAGTGTCAGTTATTATGGCAAGCCCATATACCTTATTCAAGCTTTCGGACATCCCATTCTATTCATTTTACTTGAGCCATACATTGACCTTGTCAATTATTCGCTTGTCAGTCTTGACTGTTTTTATATGAGCGTATATATGTGTGCCCTTCTTATTTCATTAATCACATGTCTGTAGCTTTATTTTGTCTGACTATAAATATTGAGTAACACTTGACAAAGATGGAGTTGGCTTCCCAGCCATCCTCCCTGTGCGTCATTTTGCTTGGCTCTGTTTCATTCACTTCATATACAAAATATGTGTATTCAAATGCCATTCTCGTTAATTGACTTATTTAATTCCGTTATGGACTAACGCGATCTAAGTCGACGATGATAAACGAGAATCAGCGATAACAATCATCCGTACACTCTAATTTGGAGTCAGATCCACCCGGGCCACAACAAGTCCTCGACATCAGATGGTATCAGTTATGAACGATCTCCAGAATCCATTGCAAACTCGATTTCATGTAATACATCACGTATATATCACAGTTTTGATAAACATAGCGTATAGAAACATATTGAACTGATTAAAAACGAATGTGCCAGATTCTACATTACTCATGGCTGTGTGCCTGATTGAATTCACTTCTAACTGTTTACACTGAACCGAATTAAAAAAAAGAAAATGCTTGCTCATTTTATTGTTTAAAGTTTTATTTTCAAATACAAATTTCATAGACTTCTAACAAAACAACAAATTAAAAGTAGAAAACATTTGTCATGAAAAATATTCAATTTCATAATTACTGTCAATTAAATAAGAACATTCTTTGAAATCTTTATTTGTAAAATAGTCAATTAAACTTCATTTGTTCATGTTCACAGACAATAAATTCCGATTATCCTCATATTTATTTGCTTTTACTTTCTTGATGAAGCAAGTCTTGACGCGAGCTCGACACTAGCGCCTGTAAAACGAGAATTAAAAAGCAAAGCTTGTAAATAAAAAGACTCAATTAGAAAACAAATTATTATATGATTCATTAAGTGAAAGGTGCTAATGAATGCTGGGAATTACTTAAGTGTGACATAGTTCATTAGAGCATTCAATACATATGTGTGGTTAAGTTGCTTAAAATAATGAAGTACGGAACGTAACATATTTTAACTGAAAATTGGATTGCATAATAATCCCTGGTAGTTATTGAATTACTACAGATTCCTTTTATTTGTCAGGTACCAGGTTTTGTTATTGTTTATTGATAAAGAAAAAATAAAATTCTCTTTCAAATTGTTTATAACCTAAATGAATGTAAAATATACCTATTTTTGTGTTGACTGAGAATAACAGTACATTGAACCAACACTAATGGTTCATTAATGATTGAACCCCTCTCCGATTTACCAAACAATAACTAGAATCAGTACATTAAATTCAACTTGGTAGGTTGAAACTCATTCTTTAAATCATACTAAGCGAACTCAATCTTTAATTATGTTTTGAAACTTTATTGATGCAATTAGTAATATTACTACTATGAGCCACATCATATTTACATCAGACCTAGTGATACAATCCAGTTGGTCAAACTAAACTAGATGCAGTGACGTCGAGATTTGAGATCCACTGGTTGAAAGATGATCGCTTCAATTAATAAGCCAATGCAGCACACTCAAACTTTCGAATAATTGGTGTTACTAGACCTTATAAACAGTGTGGTCCGAAACCGGGTACATGAACATGTACTTAGTCAATGAATTAGATAAGACAATCTTGAGATAATAACGGAGTGTTTTGTTTGTAGAATTGGTAGACAGCGTTTTAAGGAGACTACTCTCTGAACCTTGATAGCAAGACTACTGCAACAAATTGTTAGTTCTTAAACGATTCCATGATGGAATGACCACAAATAACTTCTACTTCAAATAAGCGTAGTTTCATGACAGTATCACATACGTTAAACATAATATCTGTTTGTCGACCCCCAATAACAGATAATTAATACAAGTTTAAATGAGAAAACAACAACTAAAACAGATAACACCTTATACGACATGTGCTCAAACTGTATCTTACACTTTCGAATTTATATAACTGTGTGTTGACAAAGGTTGACTATCAAATATTAACAATGGTTTTAGTTAATAGTATATTCACACTCAAGGCATTTTAATTACATGACAGTTTTTTATTGATGCAAATACATTTTACGGTTATTTATCGCCTTTATATAGACAGCTTAATTTAAAAGACATAAAGTGTTCAAATTCTGTCAGTGTGTATTGAGTTCGTGTCTGGAGTATGATAGTGACTGAATCTTATATGGTAATATTGAATAGTTCAAAACATACATTTCAGAATTTTTAGACAAACGAAATTAGGTAAATTGTTTAACATTGTGATAGCAAATGAAGTGTCGCTAATATCTAGTCAAGTGTCATAAAAAAGACAAGTCTGTGAGAGAGAATCAAAATACCTTATTTGCTTCAATGGTTTTTGTCCAGTCTTCAGCACCAATCAATGCCACAGCCTCTAATAGAATTTCTCTAACGTGAACAATACTTTTACGAAACTGTTCCAAAACCATATCAACACAGACCTGGTAAAAATGAAATAATACATCAAAAATGAGTTTGTTGGTATCAATGCCAAGTTTGAACTTGATAGTTTCAAATAAATTGAGCATTCTGTGGAAAATTAATAATATACATGTAGACCGAGAAATGATTTATGTTTCATATTCAGTAAAACCAACCTTTAGATGGTTATAGAGGTTTTATGTTGGTCGGAAATTAAGGTCATCCATCAGTGAATGTGAATTATTTGAGTGCCGGATAATTTTCTTTCCTAGTTTTGTTTAATTATCCATCGCATAAAAGACTGTATCCAATGTTACCCTTGGGAGAACATTATTTACTAAAAGTAATAACTTTATTCTATTCAGTGAAATGAACTAGAAATCAGATCCTAGGTATTCAAATACCTGTAATAATTATTCAGCTTTTAGCTGTTTAAAGTTTCATTAGTACAATGCAATATAACAATATATCTGTCATAAAACATCATTTGATTATTCAGACGATCAGTAACATAGAATGAATAAAAGGCGTTGTTATAACAGATTCACTTAATATTCCCACCGTTGTAGTCTAATTCTATGCTTAAATTATTATCCATCAATCAAACAGGAAACATGAATGACAATGATTCCAGTCAAAAAGGAACCAGCTTATCATGTCATGCAATTTCTGTCAGAAATTAAACTCTACTGCAAACTAATTATCCATCTATTTAGTGAAAAGATTGGTGTTTGGTTGGTTAAGCAACAATAAGAACTATAATGTGCCTCGTATATTAAGTAAAGGGTTGCATGCTCGGATTTGAGTCACACTATTCTGTGGAAGGAATAATAAAACTACCTAACTGACCAGACAGAAATAAGTAGAGTTGGATTCGAATCTGAAATCTATTGGTTGAAAGAACTGAATGCTTTAATTACTAAGTTACAAAACTTCCTAGATTTTTTACTATCGATTATGAACAACTATAAATGAAACTAGCCCAGCATATTGACCAACAATCAATAACCATTATACTTTACTTTAGGAGTTCCTAGAAATACAAAGTTCAACAATGCATGAAAATCCTCAAATTTAAAGACGAATACAATCACAACTTTATTGAAATCCACAACCTCATACTGGAAGCATAACAAAATAATTGGACATCCTTATGTGTGTATCTATAAATTACTATAGAAAAGTAGCCAGTAAGTATAACTTTCTCACATGTTCCTCATCTGCTTTTCAGCAATCAAAATCTGTAACAATTGCTATAGAAGCATAACATAAACCAGCTTCACGAGCCAATGAAACTTCAGGAACTAATGTCATGTTAACTATATTCAATCCCATTGCCTTATGAACAAATGATTCGAAACGAGTTGAAAAACGTGGACCATTGATAGTTACTGCAGAACCTTCAGTATGTACACATGGATGAATACAGGCGGATTTATCTTTATTTCTTTTCATGAACATTTATTGATTTATTTTTGGCCGCTTGGATTAACATCTGAAAATGTACGAGACATATGAACAAGTTACTATTAAACTATAAAAAAGAGAATTCAAGCAAAAACGTCTTCGTTGTTTAACTTTTCCTTTACATTTTCATGATCATTCATCAATCATTAAGTAGATAATGGAGACCAACTGTTTACCGATGCATCATTATATTGTAGGAGCTTTAAAACATTATTTATTAAGCAAAACAATACACAAACTTCCAACTCATTTGATATTTAACAACTCCAAGAAACTAGAATGTATCTAGCATAGTTAATGCGCCTTGTTAACAAAACATTTTGTACATTAATTTATTTTAAGCGTCAACATTCAATCAACGATGTCAACTACGGAATTTAACAAACGTCAAAACCTCACTATATAACAATAATAATAATAATGTGCCCACCACTGACTAAGTGAGAAGTGAGAAGTTGTGACTATTGGAGATCAACTACTTCAAGTGTACAACAGTTACCTACTAATAAAACTAGGTGGTTGGCCAGTATCGTTTTAAGATTGGATTTAAACATGTAAACTATTGGATGTCGGATCAGTGGTCTAAATGTCAAGTGCTCATAACAACAAGTGGAAGTCCTGGGTTCGACCCATGATGGGGTCGTGGATGAGAGCTCCTGACTTATAACATATTAAGACGAAACGTCTGTCTAGCGCTTCCCAGCCTTCAGTGTTCAACCAAAATCAGTTCTTGGTGTTAGCTATGGAATAAAAAGCTATTTAAACAGGTTTCATAGTGAAATGTAAATTAAAAATTGAATTGAAAGCACTCAAGAGTATGCAAACCTACAGCAGCTGTTACCTTGACAATACAATAAGAAACTCTCATGATATGGCCGTGCGCGACCGCCCTCAGGTTGTCCTTTGGGCTCTGCGGTCACGCTCCCAGCTCGTCAAGACCATCACTTAATCCGATTTCCTTTTCAGGTTCCTCAAGAAATACCTTTCCACGGTGTAGGCAGCCGGGAAGTGATATCAGCCCTCATACCCGTAACATCACACGAGACCAAGTTGGTCACATTCAAATCCTCCCCACACCTAATAACTCTCTTATCTCCACGAAAAACCCTTCTCACGTCCCATCATTACCTCGCACCGCTGGTGCAAACGATTCGAGTACGCAGAACGTTATTCCTGATCTCCTGAAACCAAACTCCAAACAACATGCAGAGCTTTCAACGTTCAAACACTGTGACAAATAGGACAACAGGCTTCCTTAGTTAGGACTTTAGAATCTCGCGCTATCCATATGTGCTGCGTCTCCGAAACGCGCATACAGGATCCGAGTAGTGTCATTTATTTGACCTCACCATATCAAAACAAAGAACCACCTAGATTCATGCTTTGTGTATCTGGAAGCCCTGATGCTGCTTCCTGTGGCCTCGCCGGCGTAAGTATAGCATTGAGTCCCAGAACAGAACTAGCTCTCTTAGACTGCATCCCAGTAGACAGTCGCTTGTGCGCTGACCGACTAAACGGAACAGTGAGGACTCGGAAAGATAGCGACACTCGTCGGTGCCTTTCCGTCGTCTCTGCCTACTCTTCCACTGACTGCAGCTCAGATGATGTAAAAGATGAGTTTTATAGAAAGCTTTTCGACCTCCTCCGAAAAACTAGGCGTTCTGATGTAGTGATAGCGGCTGGTGACTCTAATGCTCAAGTAGGTAAACTAGGAGAATGGGAAAGACACCTGGGTGGATCTTATAGTGTCGTGGCTCAAAGAACAAATAATGGCGATCGTCTATTGCAGCTATGCTCAGATAACCGCCTGTTTCTTGCAAATAATATCTTTAAGCATAAGGAAAAACATCTTTCGACAGAGCGAACACCGAATTCGTCCCAACGTGTGACCCAAATAGATCAAATCACTATCAGCCACCGATGGAGGGGCTCGATAGAAGACTGTCTCTCATTCTGGAGCACATGCCTAGATTCAGATCATGCTCTAGTGCGAGCGCGTATTTGCTTGCGTCTTACTGGACGTAAAAAAGACGCTGCAAGGAAGCCTCGTAGGGTCCTACTTATTGATAGCCAAGCTAAGAGTATATTTCAGGAACAACTAGAAAAAACAGTTAGACAGCAATTTGTGATGCATAACCCGAAACAGCGTGGAATGATATTCGAAAAGCTGTGGAAACAGCAGTGATACCTGCTGGTACGGTTAACCACAAGGTTAGGGAGAAACACTGAATCTCAGCAGCATCTACCGCACTGATAGATGCTCGACAACTCATCCCATCTGGCTCTGAACATAACGAAAAGCAGAGTCAGCTTAAGCGCAAGCTGACAAGAAGCCTACGCAATGATCGTGAACAGTGGTGGGTAGCGAAAGCAAGAGATGGGAAAGGCAGCGGCAATAGGTAACAGCAGACAACTGTTCAAACTTGTTAAGGAAACCGGTATTAAGAACCCAACTGTTAGCGAAACTGACTCAGAAAAAGATGGACATATTATTTATTCTCAATCCAGGAGATTGGATTGATGGGCAGAACACTTTAGGGATCAGTTCAACTGGCCTTCAGCCACACTTCAGTTTCCCACGATCACCAGTCAACCTGAATGGCAAGTTAATATAAGTCCTCCAACTCTTTACGAAGTTGAAAGAGCTATAGGAAACCTGAAACGAGGGAGAGCAGCAGGTTTACTCCTGAGGTTTTTAAGGATAGTGGTTCAGTATTAGCAGTGAGATTGACTGAGGTCTTAGGTAGAATTTGGGAACTAAACATAATCCCATCTGACAGGTCTCAATCACTGATTGTGCCAGTCTATAAGAAAGGACAAAAGTCCTCTTGTGACAATCACAGAGGAATCAGTTTGACTGATATAGTGTCTAAAATATTAGCTTCAATAATACTTCGACGCCTAACTAAACCTCGCGAAGAGCAGACTAGAGAAAACGAGGCTGATTTTCGACCTGTATGCGGTTGTATGGGCAAGATATTCACACCAAGTCAGTTCCTAGATCATAGACACACATTCAGACGCCCCACACTGGTAGTATTTCTCAACCTCAAGGCGGCATATGACTTTGTTGATCATGAGGTTCTGTGACAATGTTTGTCACTGTAAGGAGTACCAAAGAAGTGCATTAACCTTGTAAAGGCTCTCTACTCAAACACAACTGGCCGAGTGAGAGCTTATGACGAACTGTCATCAGAATTCATTACCTCCAGTAGTGTTAGTCATGACTGTCCACTCTCTCTATTCTTGTTTGATTTTGTCGTTGACGTGCTTTCAGAGACAACATTTTTTTCATCTAAATTTCCAGGAGTTGAACATTTACCGGGAGATTCACTTGTTGACTTAGAATATGCTGATCACATAGTTCTATTTGGTGAAGACACTGACAAAATGCAGTCTACTGACCACAATAAGCAACAATGCAAGCATGTTCGGAATGCGATTCTCCCCTCGAAATGCAAAATGTTGCTTCACGATTGGGTTACATCGACACCCGAACTAATGGTAGGGAGTGAAGTAGTTGAGCGCGTCGACCGCTTCACTTATCTCGGAAGTCTCATCAGCCCTTGTGGTTTGGTGTGTGACGAAATCTCAGCACGGATACAGAAGGCTCGACTAGCTCTTGCCAACTTGCGTCATTTATGGCGTAGGTGAGATATCCGTCTATCAACCAAAGGACGTGTTTACTGAACAGCAATTCGTTCCGTCCTACTTTATGGCAGTGAAACATGGCCGGTAAGAGTAGAGGATATCTGTAGGTTACTAGTATTTGATCATAGGTGTCTTCGAAACATTGCTCGTATATCCTGGGACCATCGAGTAAGTAACACAGTTGTTAGAAAACGGGTACTAGATAAGGATGACAAATCAATTGATGAGGTAGTGAAACTTCATCAGTTGAGATGGCTGGGACACGTGTTACGTATGCTCAACGACCGACTGCCTCGACGTGCGATGCTCAATGGTATAGGAGTAGGTTGGAAGAAAGCTAGGGGTGGCCAGACCAAAACATGGCACAAGTTCATGAAGTCACTGACAAGTGGACTGAGTGATGTTGGTAGGTGTAGACTACCTGGTTGAGGACCGCGAGACGATAGCAAACGATGGCTAGAGACCTTGAATGACACGGCTCAAAATCGTTTGCAATGGCGCTGGTGCATCCACTCTTTGTGTTCTCAGTCAGTCGGCTACAACGTATGACCAGGCACATTTATGCATCGATCCAAGTTGCCATACCTCATTAACACAACGAGATGAACACCGGATTCATAAAAGTAGTTAATTCAGAGGTGGTAAAATATAAAAGAAAGATTGCAATAAGGATATAGTACAGGAAGAAAGAATTAATTCGTAGAAAGAAAGATATGAAGCAATTTTAATCTCTTAGTTTAAGGGAAGATAGAGAGAGTATACACCGACGCCATTGTGATCGATTCTGAGCCATGTCACCAAGAGTCTCCAACGATTGGTTACGATAGTCACGCGGACCCCAACATGGCTCAGACTAGAAGTTAGTGACTTCAAGCACTGATACCACGTTTTGGTTTGGCCGCCCCTGACTTTCTTCCAACCATCCCGAACGCCGATTAGCATTGCACGTCGTGGTAATCGGTGTTCAGGCATACGTACCACGTGGCCCAACTATCTCAGTCGATCAGGTTGTTAATCTATTTGAGTCCATCGTTGGTTTGGTGTAGGGGGTCGCCATGTTGGACGATGTCTCTCCTTATGCTTAAAATTTGTGTTTGCTATTAATAAACGATTGTCTGAGCACAGTTGCAGCAGACGATCACCATTATCTGTTCGTTGTGCCGGAATACTAAAATACCCACCTAAATGCCTTTCTGTTTCGTTTAAATTACCTATCTGGGCATTAAAGTCATCTGCTACGAGTACTATGTCTGAGCGTTTAGCTTTCTGAAGAAGTTCAGATAGCTTTCTGTAAAATTCATCTTTCACTTCATCTGAGCTGCAGTCGGTGGGAGCGTTGGCAG